CAAACAAGTTACTATTTATTTGGTCCTTCAGCTCTTGGAAAGCCCGATAGTTTGATTTCACGAGTGCCGCAGAAATTTGAGAAATCGTATCACTTGTGTTCTTGAAGTGAAATAGGAGATGGCGAGGTGAGAGCTATGTTTTTTTGACATCAGTGCGTTTGCTCGGGTATTATTTTTCTGGCGCGAATTTCAAAGTTCATATTTTCTTATCGGTCACCTTGTTCGAGTCGGCCTCGTTCAGTCGTTTAATTACTTCGCGATACTTGACGGCCTTCTACTTGTTTTAGAATAGCGATGACACTTTCTGAACTGCGTTTAATTACCCCGCTTGATTTATACGGACGCGGCGGACGCGGATATTTTCATCTTAAAATGGCGACTTACTTGAGAATGTACGAACTTTTACAATATCATTTTTATGGTCTTCTTGAAGGTCCTATTAGGCATTTGAATGTGTTTCTTTAGTTTTGAATTTGACTTTGTACGTTTTTTCATACTTTTTCCATACGAGAACTCAGAGTAGGGGTATAGATCTGCAGGGTCAAGTTGTTGAATAAGTTTTCTGTTCAATATTTTTGTCCTACATAAAATTCTCGAGTTTTGGCGCAAAATAATCCAGTGAAAAATTAAAGAAGTTACCTGAGAGATCTGAACCTTTCCGGAAATTTATGTTATCCTCATTCTCCTACGCCTTGTCTGGTGCTCTATGGGTAAACCCGGAAATCTTTTTCCAATTTTACTGGAGTTCTTGGTATCTTTAGAGTAATCAATTTCAAGTATGCCCAGTATAGCGCGAAACAGACGGTTCGGCGTGTTTCAGCCACTGAAGTTAGTGATACTTTGGTAAGATCATTAGTGGTAATGTACGTTCTACGTCTATTATCGTAGGTAGATATCTTAGGGTGGCATTTAAGTAATATATCGACGGCTATTTGCGCCTGGTCGGCTCGATGCATGTCGAATTGTCGTCACACTTATCTGATACAAAATGATGGATTGGCACCGTCTACTACTTTGCGAAAGTTTGGTTACTTCCCTTCTCTCCAGTGGAGTTAAACAGTAGGGGCTCAAATATAGCCCCTGTCTTTCTTCTTTTGGTAGAAGCTTGAAAAGGGGATGGAGACCTTGCTCTATTGCTTCTCTTAATCAGACTGTTCTACTGATTATGTTTAGGATCACCTTGACTGTAATGGTTCTCCTTTGGGGCAGATCTCAAGTCACTCGAGGTGTCAAAAATAGAGCTATGCAGTCGGCCTTCATTAGCAATATCTGGGTCATCTGTAGCATTGGGATGTTTTCAACAGCATTAAAAACAGGTTCTAACTACTTTTTGAAAGTGGGTCAATGAAATATGGGTTATTACCAGGCGCTATTGTGCAGTGTCTGCTTTTGCAGCTGCCAGACATCGTTTTCAGCCGTCTTGCCTGATTCGTTTAGGAGACATGGGAAGTGGGGGTCGGGAGCTCTGTTTAAAAAAGTTGTTTTGACTTTTCAAATATAATCAGCTGATTTCCTTGGGGAATTATGTTGGTTGATGAAGTGGATTATGAAGTTTTTATCGATTGTACTTTCGCCTACTACGAAGTTGTTTCGGGGATTCTTATATGATATCACTTCATATCACAAATAATGTACGAGGATTCCAAATGACGAGATGCACTTTTTTTAAATTTGAGCATGCAGTATCTAGGACTTGTTTCTATTTATCTTTTGGATTCAGCTAACCGGGAGTTTAGAGCGACCTTGTTGGGTTGCACCGGTTTCTTAGGACGAGTTTCGTCTTTCAGGTTCGGTTTCAACCTTGGGATTTTCGAAACTCACTGTTTATAATGTAGTCTGCGATGTAGCTCCCGCGCTGGCAGAAGTATTCCTGGATAGCAGAGGCTGAGTTGGATATCAAATTCCATTTTTATCGCATTATTGTATTTTCAAAACTATTTGACTTCATTGAAGTTGCAAAGCGAAATGTTTTGAGCAATCCTCCTTTCAATTCTGTAGGCCATAGTATTCGAGAAGATTGCCATAAAGTTGACATAGACTCTCCAGAATTTGCAAAGGACAAATGCCTATCTATAAAATCCAGGGGTGGGACCATTAATTTTGGATCTGAGAACAGGTTAGTGCAAATTCTGGGATACATGGTGGTCTTTGATGGGCGTTTAACTGGTGGCGCACTTCTCCATCTCATCTATTCTGTCTAGGCAGCCCAGTTTTTTTTTTGAAAGTCTTCTGTAAAGAGAAGAAATACCACAGACACTCCCTCGAAGCGTCATCACTTGTGATCGTCCTGTCTAGTGTCGACAAACTGTCGGTGTCTGTAATCCAAGCAGGGCTCTTTAATTACATTCAAGAGGAATAATGACAGCAAGGTGTCATTTGTTGATTCTGTTCCCTTTCTGTTCTGATGTAAGTACCGCAAAATTCCATAGATAAGAGCGGCTCAATTTTCGAATTCCTACATCGACTCTGATGACCAAATTAGGGTCCCCTGTCTGAGGAACATTCATTGCTGTATGGCTATAAACGATGAAGACGGTGAAAGAATTGACCCTTTTCTATGGAAGTTTTGGGTGCTTTTGCCTTCAACGAGTGTTCATTAAATATGACTAATGACCGGTCATTAAGATTCGACATGTTTTTCTGAAAGCGCTACTGAATTGCATCGAGTCTGCTCGGGATGTCTTCTGACTTTTTGATTTTCATGTTCATTTATGCAATCTATTGATTGGGCTGTTTTAGGTGATACGACTGAAGGTTTTTATTCGAATTAACTAAAAAGATGTAGTCTTCTTACCAATCAGTCATGTTTCTGGGCTGAGTCGTTGCAATCGGCTTCCATTCAGAATCGTAAGGTGTTTTGAATGCCATAAAGTCTATACAATGGCTTGCGGTGGCCATCCGGCAATGCTTTTACACTCTCAGACGGGTTGGTAGCGATTCACCGGCCTCGTAGGTGTGGGAGGCTTGGTTGTCTTTGTCCTTATATCCTTGGCGAGTTGATCTGAACGTGAGAAAGGATCTCCGGACCATGCGTTTGTGATGGTGCGCCACTTGCCACCACATCACATGAACCCATTTGGAAGATATGATTGCAGTTTGGATATGAAAAAGGTATTAAAGTTCTAATGGGTATGTTAAAGGGAGGAGCTTATCCTGGGAGGTATTATGCGTCATCTAGAACATTTCTACAAGGAGGGCTGAGGGAACGGAGAGGTTTCCTGAAAGGCAGGTTGTTGTCAACAATTTCATTGCTGCCCCACGTCGAAGGCGTAGCAATGGAGATCGAATTGTGTTGACATTTCTGCCGAACATGTTTGTTAGGCGAACCTTTTATTCGTTTCTCCCTACGCTTCGATTTTTTCGTCTTCAGAGGCCAAAGATCCCCCAGAGTTGGCTCAGAGCTTCGGTTGACGTCTTTCCCGGTAGTATTAGTTTGGGGTATAGCCAAGTCAAGGGCATCCATTATGGTTATGGCCAAGCTAAGGGCATGCATAATGGTTCCGCCTGACTGGTTTATTTGACAGAGTAAGTCAACACCGTTAATCCGAGTTGCTGTACTCAGACCCATTGTCCCTCTAGTACCAATGGAGCAGCCAGGGCGGCTACCGATCTGGGAGTACAGCAGGTTCGGATTACGGTAGGTATAATTGAGTGTATGTGATTTATTTGCGGCAAATGCGTATTCAGAGCAGGCAGAGCAGAGCAGCTGTGTGTGCGTAGCATTACTCATTGTCCAGTGTGATTCAGTGGTTGAACTTTGCTGAATGCCTTGTATGTACAGTTATAGTGTCCATATTGTTATGCTGGCACTATAGCCTGTATTGCACTATATGATTGTTCGCTCAATGTGGTTGTAAAGTGATGGCTATATGGCTGTTAGTCATATTGATGGGGGAATCATTATGATTTTGTGGTTTTGATAGTCGTCGTGCTATGATTAAAGTCGCATAACTATCGAGAAGTAGTTTCTTTCCAAATGCGAAGGACTTGAGTGGTTTTTTTCTTGCACTCGTAAGTTTTTTTTTCAACAGCTGTGAAGGTCAAACGCAGCATTCCCTTCCTTCATTTCACAGAGATGTAAGTGAGATATTTTCGAGGTTTTTTTTTTTACTTTTTTGACAATTTCAGGGAGATTTCTTTTAACTCAAGTCTTCAGATATGTTTTGGTTTTACTTATTGAAGTTGACAATTGCCGTCATTTCACTTTATCTCTCATCAATCTCCGATTCGTTTGATGTATAGTTAACGGCTAATTGTGGTTAAAACCCGCTAGAAAGTGTCGTTTTTGACTGATATCTGATTACATAGCAACATTATTCCGCGGCCCGTCGTTTTTTGCTGTGCCCTTATCGATTTTAGATTTCTTGCGGGCGCTTTCAGCCTAATTTTAAACTCCAATACCACCACGTGACCAAAGCACAATCAGCACTAACGAATGTAGAGAGACTTCTTTAGAATTATGGGCTATTTATGGATCCTTTCAAAGGAAAAGTATTTTGCAAGGGCTGTGGAAGCGACTGCCAGGGGAGAGTGGCGTTTGCTTGTCCTATTGATTCATTGTTCCAATTTTCTTTCTTCATGGTTCGTCCTTTCCATTCTATCTGGCGTAAAAATCTTTTATTTGTATCGGCGTTTGTAAGTGCAATGGCGCTATGAGGTACCTCTCCTTTCTGGTAATATTTTGAGCGTTTTTTTGAGCGAATGTAAGTTGTCGATTTTTATTGGAACAATTTAATATGTATGTTTGGCAATGCTGTTAGCTGAAGGTGTGAATATCGATTACGAATTAAGCCTTTTGACTGCATAATTTGCCTTTTGCTGCAAGGTTGGAGGCGTAGTGTCATTCATAAACTCGTTTTTTCTTCGTTCTGCTTGGCAACATCCATATTTATTGCTGCCCTTTGTATCGACGCAATGTTTGCGGCCCCACAGCAGTCGTAAAAACGCTATACTACATGAAATTTCAGACTGTTATCTGTATCTAGCAGAATATCTATTGGATGGCGTCGGTAGTGAATGTGTACGCGACGTCGGCGACGACGGAAAATCTGTCACGACATGAGATGCTGATGTGGGTGAACGACTGCCTACAAAGTAACTTTACGAAGATTGAACAGTTACACACAGGAGCAGGATATGCTCAGGTGATTTTTGGCTACCCTTATGTTTTGGTTCGTTCCTTGCATAGTGAAGTTTGACTCAAAAAGTACCGATCATTGTAGTAGACGTGAATTTTGAGGACCTAGCTTACTGTATTTATCTGAAGCTATTTAGTACTGGCAACATAACTAGTAGCGCAGTGTCGTGAATTACTTTGCATTCAAAGGATGTTATCCTATCAATGGGTGATAAACACCTAGTTTAGCGAATGTCTGCATGGTTTGCAGTCTCTGTTTTACCTCCCAAGAGGATCACTTTTGCATCATACACTTGAGTAGAAAATTTGTAATCATTGAAGCTCAAAAAGCTTCTTCCGTTTCTTTCAATTCAAGTATGCTTGATTTGCCTGCCGCGGCATTCCCACAGTATATTTATGCTTTTGCGTGCAATTCTTTTCGTAGGCGAAATCTTAATATGTTTAGCTAAGAAAAGAAATCTGAATTTCGATAAGCTGAAAAACTCAGCCTTTTGTTCCCTAATTTCAGCAAATCCTATGGTTCCAAAGATGTCGTTCTGCTTGACTACTTTTATTTAAGCATGAGTGAGTGTTTTCAGTTCACGGATTTCCTTTTCCCTGGGTCGATTCCGCTGAAAAAAGTAAAATGGAACTCGATCCTTGAACTGGATTGGCTAGGAAATTGGAAGATTGTCCAGACCTCGTGGAAGAGCCTCGGCGTTGAGAAGGTTGTTCCGGTGGACAAGCTTATAAAAGGGAAATTTCAGGTTTGTGGAATCCTTTTTGTTACGTTGCGATTCTCTTGTTTCCATATTGGAGTGTCCACTCGATTCTAGTTTCTCTCCTTTCGTTTTTGACATTTATCGTGATGTAAAAGGGAGAAGAATGAAGTGCTTGCCGCTGATCAATACCGTTTTGGGATGTGCCTGCGCATCCGTTGGGCATTCGCCTTTCATTCAGAGCCATACTGATAATCAAATGCGTATTCAATTCATACAGTACGGGGTGGGGGGGGGGGGGGGGGGGGGGCTACAGATATAAAAGTCGAGCGGAAATCTGGTCTGGTAGCATTCAGGGTGAAAGACGACAATGTTCTTTATCCTTCCCTGTTATCATGTGAACTATTCGCAAGAACAGTAAACATGGAGTGAGCAACAAGTCCCGTCAAAATACCACAAAAAATGGTCATATCTCGGTTTAGGTGGGCCGGTATAAGCCCGGACCTGGACCAAGTTTTGCTAGGACAAAATTTTGTACTACACGATCACGCCTTTTTTGTGATTCTTACTGAAAGGAAACTTGTATTCACTACCGTACCTCTTCGTTTACTTTTCTCCTGAATAGTTTGCATGATAGCAGGGCATGAAGGGCAAAGAACAAAACAAAATGTTGTGTAATATGACGCTTTATTGAGCTGTAGCTCCTTATATGTTCACTGATTTCAGGACAATTTCGAATTTCTACAATGGTTCAAAAAATTCTTTGATGCGAACTACGACGGTCACGAATATAATCCAATAGAAGCGCGTGGTGGGGAACCTCTCCCTGCAGACCCTCCAGGAGGGAAAACTCCGGCTCATGGAGGTACTCGAATGCAGATGCCGACCCGTACGGGTGTTTCAACTGCGTGAGTTTTTTCTTTCAGAAAAGCTATGATGTATTTCGTGTTTACCTTTGATCAAGCGATCGTCAATTTGGTTAGAACAGTTTTCTTGTGAAATTTGATTTTATGCTCGAGCCAGGAATTATAGAAAGTTTAAGTTGTACCAACTGTTCCATAAAAGTTGACTACAGGAAATCGGGCCCGCCCTCACGAAACTCATCGTCATATACAATAAACTCCACACCGGCAAAATCTCGTCCCGCTACTGCGACGGCTGCTACACATCGCCAACCGGCCCCCGCCTCTGCTAAAATAAACAACAATGTTGTACAAAAGGTTTGTTTATGGAAGAGGGCTCTTCCCAATTTATTTTTCCTAATTCGTATTTTGTAAGCGGTCTTTTGGTCAATTTTCTTTCATACATTCATGCATGTGGCCCTATTTACTTTTTCACCTTCAGCAGTTAACACATGCAGGCAAGAGTATATTGAGCAATGGAAAATGTAGTGTTTGACTTTTAATGTAAGTCAGTTTGCCTAGTTACTTTTGCCCTCGACGAGTTATGCGTCGCTATGGAGCTGCTGGCGGCGTTATCGCGGTTAGCTTACTACGTTTTCGATGTAACCCATTTCTGCTCCCTGGTCCGGCTAATTCTTCAGGAATATTTCAAAATTCATTCTTACCGTTTGTCTTTGGTTCTTAGCATTCTATTTTGGAACTTGGTTGAGAACTGGTTTTCCCTTTTTTGTGAGGTTCTCTTCATCGCCGGCATTCTTTATCCAGAGCTGCTCTTGGCTGTCAAATGGGAGACAATGTGAATGATGAGGGTTGGGAAATGAACCCTTGCAGTAATGTAGCAGCAATCACTCACTGTTACTAGTGACTATTTATAAGTAGTTAAAAGTAGAACTTATGTTTTCGTGAACACAGCGATTGCTTACTGCCAGTGCTTGCCTTATGAATACAAAGAGTCAATCGAAATAGTCTGGCAGTCGTGCATTTTTTTGCTGGTTGATGATGAATGCGAAATTGAGCGCATAGCCTCCCATGTATCCATCCATAGCTGTGCCCAATAGACTGGCGTGAATGTCTCGTCATCTCTATCGCTCATATTTCCTTAATATTCACAAATGGAGTGTAAATTTTCTTCTTTTGCCTTAGCTATCCCCCTCTCTAATTATAATCATAGCAATAGCTTTTAGCCTGCTCCAGCAGCGAGTCGTCCCGCCACCACGGCGCCTTCGCTAGATGCGATGCAGTTGAAACAACTCAAAGAGGAAGTTGACGACGTGAGTTACATTTTGTCATCGACAGCAAAGTCTCATTGCTTCATAGGTTTAACCATGATCAACGAAAGCAGGGGTTCTCAATGTTCAGAGTTGTTAATTCTTTGCTTGGATTTTTGTTGATTTGGTACGGCTCTCAGTGATCGTATTTTACTTGGTAGTAGTTTTGTCAATTGTGATTGAGCCGCGTTCAACTTTTTTCGGAACATTCAATTTAAAAAAGGGGGTACTTGGCTAAATTTTAAAGTCCCTTTCATGGGGCAAAGGGACTTGTTTCATGGTTCGCGCTCAATTTATGTGAACTATATGCAGCTTGTAGCAGCATTCAAGATTTCTGTAGTTTATCCACATCATTTTTTTAGTTAACCCGTCAATTAGGCGAAAGCGATGCTGTGTTAAATAGCTTGGAAAAGGAACGCGACTTCTACTTCAACAAGCTGCGACAAATTGAGGTTGGTTGGCTTTTAATGAACGTTTGTGTCTTATCCTTATTTCTGATTTGTTGAGTGAGTAATCAAAGTTGTATGTGGCGCTTTTCTTACCAATTCGCGAACGTGTTTTTATCTTCCAAACGCGTAGGATTTATTGAGATTCTCCTCTGTCATAGATGATACAGAAACACTATTGCCAGCTTTGTATTTGACCAATAATGCTTCGTTGAAAATTAGTTATGAAGCACAAATGACGAGCAAAACTGCAGAATCTTCAGACCAGTAATGGCTAAAAAGGTTTTGTGCACTGGATTGTTCATTAAGGGCCTTGCATTCTACGTCCGTCTGAGTTTTCGGAATCCGGTTACAATTTTTCAGGTTGTCTGTCAAGATAATGAATCGATTGGTACCGTAGAAGTGTCTCGAATTCTAGAAATTCTCTATGAAACAGAGGAAGGTTTCGCTGCACCCGATGAAGATGAAGAGCAGCAGTAAGACTGAGGTGATGACATGTTTTTACTAATGATACCGATTTAAGTTGTTATTCACCTCACCTATTTTTCCTTATATTGAACCTATTTAGATTTATATTTCGCTGCTTCTACATTATTTATGCCAGTATTCCGTAAGACTACACTTCATGTGTCAAATGTAGTCTGCTTTCTATTCTACTATCCATAGATGTAGTATTTTTTGAAACTCGTGTGATCTGCTTATGTTTTTCCCTCATTGGAGTTGTGTTCCTCCAGGAGCGGCTAATATCCACTTCTCTTCGAGCTATTCTCCTGGAATAGTTTCCCTGTTGTTGGCCTTTGTATATCATGGTGCGCTACATTCTGATGCGACATAGTAAAATATTATTTTTGCTATTTTATTTTATTTAGTATATACATATTTTGAGAGACCCATTGTGGAGTTCCATTGTAAAATCTGGCTCAGAGATGTCCATCCATCAATCTCGTCACGAAGAAGTCTAGGCTGAATGACGGTTGTTGTATAGTTTGAGTTGTGGGGTTACTGCTTCCTGAAACCTTTGTAATAAAAAACTGTTATTGTTTATTCCTTATGTAGAAACAGGGCCGAACAATTCCTATTGTTAGATTACAGCTTTCATACTACTGACGATGCAATGTTACATTGAATAATGCTTTCTTGATTTCTCTTTTCTTTTTTTCTTTTTCTCTGTTTCAGCTGTGCTTGTATTGAATAAGCGCTGAATCAAATGGTATTTTTTTTTTGCAGAAATAAATTTTTATTATAGTATTCGTGTTAGTGTTCATTGAACCGAGATGTCGTCAGTACGAACGTATTGTATTTGTTTGTGAAGGCAAATATCTGGCAACTTTGTTTCAAGCCTTAAAAGAGAGGGCGCTTTTTACAACTCCGTACAGTTTTCTTAAAGTTTGTTATATGGGCTCCAACCCTGAGCGTATAAGAGTGGTGTTCTTTGGCAGCTTGCCACCATCGGTATCAGTTGGTGAATCGTTCCACGCTCACAACGAGTTGCCGATTTTTCATGACTTTTTCCATGAAGACAGACGCTCATGATTTCTTGTGCGGTCCAGGTTACTGTGGGAGTGAAATGACCCTTTTGGTAATTAGTCGGTGAGCGGGTGATTTGTCGCTCTAAGTTGCTTAGTTGCATGATTCTGATTCTTATCTATGGAAGCTTTTTTCACTACTCAATGATTCTTTCCTCAATTCAGTTGTCCCTTCAAACTGCCGCGTGTTCATTAAAAAACAAACATTTCCTTGCAGGTGTGACCAGGGGTTACCCCTCACTATTTGTTATTTTCTTACCTGTTATTTTGCGAGGTCAAAAACTGAGCCCACTTTGCACTGATTGGGTTTTAAGGGTTTCTTCTTTTTGCCAGGGAGTGAATTCCAAGTCCTTCAACTGGACTAAGTGTTGTGCTCCAGAATTTTTCACAGAATCAGTTTTTTTCCAAGCTTTTCAAATCGTTTTGCAGGGTTAAAAGCTGAACCGAGTTTGTGTTGGTTGTGCTTGAGAAGTTCCCTCAAAACCATCTTTCCGCTAAACCCTGCCTGGACTCTGGTAGAGATTAAATGCTAAATTAGGGGACCTTTCTTGTTACCAAAAATCAAACACAACTCTATTTGAGGTGGCTTGAAGAGTTTTCTCATCCTTGCATTCTTTTTGGCTAGCGCTTCTTCTTAAATCTCGGTTTCTTCAAGCCACCTGAAATAGAGTTGTGTTTGATTCAAAGCTGAGTAATCAGTTCAAATGGAGTATGCCTATTTCGAGGAGTTCACGTGCTGTACTGGGAGATGGTTGTTCCATCTTTGTTTTGGAGTTACCACCGACAGTATCGAGAAGCTAGACTTTACAAAGAGCGAAGGGGCGTTTTGATGGAAGCTTTAATGTGGCGCTGGTGGTTTTGTTGGTTTTGATTGAATGATTTCGAGTGGTAATCAGATAGTGGTCAAAACTCCTTTGGAAGATGTCTTTGACTGCATCACTGCAGTGTCGGTGATGCGTATAACCGTTGTATGCTGGTTCGTAAGCAATAAGTTCTTACTCTCTATGCTTTTTCCTTCGTTTTGATCTTTTGGTGGAAGACTACGTTAGATATGGTAAATATTTCTTTCTAGAATGGCTTCAACAACAACAAATCCATCAACGTTGCTGCCTTTAGAATTGGTAGACAAATGTATCGGCTCGAGAATCTGGGTTATTATGAAAGGTAATGCCCACAAGTCTGTTCACAACAACTAAGCTTTTGATTTTTTCGATATAGTGGACTGCTGTCACTAAGTTGGGGTCATGTTTCTTCTTATTACTGGTGTTTCGCCGTTATTAATTAATTTGTTTGAAGGCAAACATTTCCGATAATCGCCTCTAGAGGTGTCACATCCGAATCAACCATGTTGTATTGATTGCTCCGGGATTTCTTTGAATTTAGCGGAGTCGAGTTTTAAATAGCTTTTTCGAAGTTTGATTTCACCTCTGGGTAACTTCCGTGAGTCTTTTGGGAACTGAATCATTATGGAAGTTTTCATGGTAGCAGTAAAAAGCAATGAACAAATAACTCAGCCGTCCAGCGCTTTTTAGCCATATTGATGATTGATTTTTGAGAAAAATTCATAAATACTATGCCCAAATTATCTGCTGTGAGGAGGTCGTTTTAGAGAGGAAGAGCCAATGATTTTGGATATACTAGAAATAAACTGTGTGTTCACAGCCGTGTCTCACAAGAACATGGATTGAACCTGATCTAAGAACAGTGTTTCGAATAGTTCATCGTTGTTCCATATTCGGCTCTTCACAGGTTACGTCATAGTCTTAGGCAAGATTAGCTAAATGTTTACGATGGGGACGATTCTCGCCAATTGTGTCGTTATTGGAATGAAAACTAAGCCAGCATTCTCACTCCGATATCGATACCGCTCGATTTTGATCACTAAAAGCCATTCCGATAATTTCGAAGAGCTACTTCACAACTTTGATCGGTTAAAATTGGGTCGGGAAGTATGAACTGATTGCGACGATCAAAAGCCAGTTCACAGTGTTTTTTTTNTTTTTTTTTGTGTTTTTTCCTCCCTTCTTTCCTTTTCTTCAAATAGATAATGCTCAAACATCGCTTCCGACCGATATGAAAACATGAGCCCTGATATTCCAGGAGAGAAGGAGATTGTGGGGACTTTGATGGGATTCGACGACTATGTCAATATGGTGCTAGAAGACGTGGTATGTTAAGGTTTATATTCTTGTATGAAGTCCCATGAATAGTATAATTGTAAATGACTTCCAAAGATTTCGAAGACCTAGAGCTTAAATGGTTTCTTTGCTAAGTTTTCTATGAAGAGTCAACTCAAAAGTGGTTGCAGCCGATTTCATGAGTAGAGCTTTTTCAGGTCGAATACGAACAGACACCAGATGGTAAGCGAGTGACGAAGTTGGATACAATTTTGTTGAATGGAAATCATATAACGATGCTTGTACCTGGAGGTGAAGGACCAGAAGTTTGATGTTGCAGGGCAATGCTCTACCTTATTTTACTGTCTGATATGTCGTGATGATTGTTTACCTCCTATTTTCCAGTTCCAACCCGAGTATTCCGCTTTCTTCTTTGCATTTTATGTAGTTGATCGACTTCTGAATAGTTTGTTGAACGATTTTCTTAAATTACAATAGTTTTGGAATGATCTTCAATCAACTACGGCTAAATTGTTATGACGTTTCGATAAATTATGCAACTTAGTTCAGTATAAAGGATCCAGGTGGTCAGAAACTTCTTAAATCCTACGCTGTTGGTAGGGTGAGTTTAAAAAAGCAGACTTTGATGTGGTGTTTCACAGAAAATGTCATTGGTGTGCCAAGTGGGGTGAATACTGTTCGCGTTCTCAGTCTTTGATTATAAGGCTTGATCATTCTACTTAGGTCGGAGTTTGAATCGTGCATTCCAAATATTCCGCATAATTAATCTTCGAGGCTTGGAAAGTTCGTTAGGCCTTGATTAGGAAGGAACGGCAACTATAGCCCTCGAGCCACATAAGCTTTGAGGCAAAAAGCAGCAAGCAGTAGTAATGGTGCTTCAACACGTGGAATCAAAGGAGTCAAGTAAAAAAGTGGTAAATGGGGTTTGCTGCGATTCGCAGACGGTAAATGGGCTTCTCACGAAGTGAAGGTATGCATTTTTATCACGACATCAGTCCTGCCTTTGCTATGTGCAGAATTTGCTCAAAGGTTCATCTTCGTTGTCTAGTGCGTTTAGTCCGAAGGGAACAAATGCTTCTTCGGAATCTACTTCAGGTAGTGATTCTTTATCATTTTGACGCCTCAATCTCAGTTCGATTTATGTTGACTCATAGCGATCAGGGGTGTATGTTTTCCATAAACACTGACATGGACTCAATCATGATCTGGTTGAATGAGAAGCTCACAAGACTACCCGTCCTTCTGCATTCACTCTAAACGCCATTGAGTGAGCATCTTGTTGTCTTGCGAGTTGAAGACGACTCCTACGGTAGGAGGCTTCTCGTCGAAGGGAAGTGTATTCAGATGTTCTCCTTTACGTTCTGTGAGCGTACAATACTTATGGCTCACCCTGTAAGTTGATGCAGGTTATATGTGCTTTCAAAATGTCACTGCGATTCTGAATATAGGTTGAATGCGTGTCGTATCCGAAAAACTGAACCCTCTATCCTTCAAACCTTTGAAGCAGAGTGGAAGTGTAGTGCAGTGGCAAGTGGAGCATTATCAAACATGCATGGTCCACGGTTTGAATAGCGCATCTCACCCAGGCCTTCCATCCCTCTGGGGTCTGTTCATTGGTACCAGACTCGTTTGGGAGGATGAAAGCACACGGACTGGCACTGACGGCACTGATCTATATATCGGGTTGGCGCCACAAGTCTTAGTGTAGGCCGCACACAAATTGAAAGCACCACTACGGTTCTTGATGAAGTTCGAATGCATGGCGCATCCAAAGAAATTAAACATTCCATTTTTCTATTCACGAAAGCGCATTTAAACACTTGTATTGTGGTCGTCGTGCATTTAAAGGCGAGTAAAGAAATAATCGCTATTTTCAGGCTCTTTAAGATTGTTAGGCCTTTGGAGCTGGGAGAGATCGCTAGAAATGCAAGACAAAGCAGATTCTTCGGTATCAGTTGGAAATGGAGACTCAGGCACACCACTGATACAGCCTGAGATAAGCCGACGCGTCCCTTCAGATGCTAAGGCTCTACCGCCTGAAAATCGAAATGTGACCATTAGGTAAATTGTCATTTTATTTCACTGTTTTTTTTGGTGGAATCAGAACACGATTGGCCGTAATTGTCCTCTCTGGCCTGTGCAACAGACGCGCGAGGCTTTTGCCGTTGGCTTTTCGGCCAGTTAGGAGAACAATTTTTAATCCAAGTTCACCGAGGCACATGGTGGTTTCAGAGAGATTGGGAACCTTTCTGAGGTGTCATGTTCAGCCTCATTCCATTCTATTTCCTATGGGTTTTTCAGCTCCCTCGTACTTTACCGTATTACAGATGAACGTATTTTATAGGTATTAAACCAAGTAGGGACTAACCTTTCCTATAGATGAGTTTGTGTAGAAGACTGTGGCGTGATTGCTGTGTTTATCCGACATTGAACCATTCATTCAAACCCGCAATTGATACGTTGCGCCGCAGCATGGCCACCTACGTCCCATCGTGGGTGGCACGACTTGTCCGAAAGGACGCGCCAATGAAGAGATGTGCGACTAGGGCGGACATACAAAGCCATGGTGAACTAGTCTGGCCAGAGGCGCAGGAAATAAAAGAGTCTGAAAGTGAGGATTGACTTCCTTTATAGCTGTGGAACTTCGTGAGAGTCTCCACCTAGGCCACCAGTGAG